ACACACACACACACACACACACACACACACAGGGCGAGGAGAGGGATTACAGAAATAGAAGGAGTGATCATGAGGGGATTGGTAAGTGTTCTGGTTGAACGGAGTGGGCACGGACAAAGGAAAGTGAAAGGTTAGGGTAGGACCGGGTCAGTGGCGGCAGTTGCAGTTCACTCGGTTCTCCATAGACGAGTTATATACAGGGGTTTAGGGATTCAGTGAATTTGCATTCACAAGCTGAGAAGGAACTTAGGAATCGGAGAACATTTAGAAACTCGGGGATTTGGAAACTTGGAAATTTTGAGAGCTAGCTGGAACACCAGGAATTCCTGGATTCCTAAATTTCTGAGTTTGCAAACGTTCCCGAATGTTCTCAAGAAATCCCTAGATCCCTAAATTCCCAATTTCGCCGAAACTTCGAAGTTTCCAAATTCCCGAATTTCTAGATATTCAAGTTTCCAACGTGAGCTGCCAGAAACACAGAACCCCTAGAGACTCTGAATTTCCAAGTTCCCGAGTTCTGGAATTTCTGAAATGTTCGAAATTCACCAGCTCCTGAGTTAAAATCAACATTCAAAATTTGCAACAAATTCCAACTAATACTAATTTCCAATCTATCCTCCAGACTCTCTCTTCTTTCCTTCGTTTTACATTTTTCTTACTCATTTCTGCATTATTTTCAGATCGTCATCTTGATCGTCACGGTGACGAGCTGCAGAGCCGGTTTCCTTGGTGGATCACCGTCTTACGGTGAGCCTCAGGTGCACCCTCAACCAGCACCTCAGAGGTACGCGCCTCCGGCACCGGTTGGCCAAGATGGTAACGTGATCGACACGCCGGAAGTCGCCGAGGCGAAGGCCGCACACTTCGCGGAATTCGCCAGAGCAGCGGCCAGAGCGGCGGAGGATAGCAAAAATCAACCGCAGTCGGTCGACTATAATCAACTACCGGCCCAGACGTACAACTACCCCTCGATGCAACCCACTCAACCTACTTACCTCAGACAGCAGAGTTATCAGTCCCCTGCGCCGATTTATCACTCTGCTCCAGGTAAAATATTGATGCCAGTGATGTCTGTCTACATTGTACCGTAGATTGTTTGGACAGTTTGGAAATTTAGGGATTACTGGCAATTAAGAATTATTTCGAGATATAGGAGTTTGGGAAATTTGGTATATTTAGGAATTTAGAGAAACTGAAACTTAGAAGCTTAGGGACTTAGGGATTTTGGAATCAAGGTTTTCAGGATTAACTTAGAAATCTAGGATTCTCAGGATCTAGAAATTTAGGAGTCTAGGGATTTGGGAATTTTGGAATTTAGAAATTTGAGAAGAGTGGAATTAAAGAACTTAGGAATCTAGGGTCTTCAGAATCTAAAAATTTAGGGGTCTAGGAATTTGGGGATTTTAGAAATTTAGGAAGACTGAAATTAAGGAACTTAGAAACCTAGGTTTTTAGGATCTAGAAATTTAGGGACCTAGGGATTTGAGCATTTTCGAATTTAGAAATTTGGGAAAACTGGAATTAAGGAACTTAGGAATCTAGGGTTTTCAGAATCTAAAAATTTAGGGGTCTAGGAATTTGGGGATTTTGGAATTTAGAAATCTGGGAAGACTGAAATTAAGGAACTTAGAAATCTAGAGTTTCCAGGATTTAAAAATTTTGGGGTCTAGAAATTTGGGGATTTTGGAATTTAGAAATTTGGGAAGACTGGAATTAAGAAACTTAGGAATCTAGGGTTTCCACAATTTAAAAATTTAGGGATCCAAGGATTTGGGAATTTTGGAATTTAGAAATTTGGGAAGAGTGGAATTAAGGAACTTAGAAACCTAGGTTTTTAGAATCTAAAAATTTAGGGGTCTAGGAATTTGGGAATTTTGGAATTTAGAAATTTGGGAAGACTGGAATTGAGGAACTTAGGAATCTAGGGTTTCCACAATTTAAAAATTTAGGGATCTAAGGATTTGGGAATTTTGGAATTTAGAAATTTGGGAAAACTGGAATTGAGGAACTTAGGAATCTAGGGTTTCCACAATCTAAAAATTTAGGGATCTAGGGATTTGGAAATTTTGGAATTTAGAAATTTGGGAAGAGTGGAATTGAGGAACTTAGAAACCTAGGTTTTTAGAATCTAAAAATTTAGGGGTCTAGGAATTTGGGAATTTTGGAATTTAGGAAGTTGAAAATTCGTAAATTTAGGAACTTGAGAAAACTGGAATTAAGAAATTTAGAGATTCAAGAATTCAAAAAGGAGAATCTGAGTACCTAAAAATTTAGGAATTTGGAAATTTAGGAATCCAGAAATTTAGCAACTCGGAAATTTGGAGATTTAAGAAAATTGGAAGAAAATTAGAGATTTAGAGAAGTCAAAAATCTAAGAATCTAGGAAAATTTGAAAATTTCTAAATTTAGGAATTCACGAGTTTAGGAATTTACAAATTTAGCAATATAGGAATTTAAAAACTTGGAAATTTGGGAATTTAGGAAATTTAGAAATTTAGAAATCTAGGAAATTAGAAATTTAGGGAATTTGAAAATTTAGAAATCTGTGTACTTATTAGGAATTTGGAAATTTAGAAATCTAGGAGAAGAATTTGGAAATTCGAGAGTCCAGATACTTGGAAATTTGAAAAAAATCTAAAAATTTCTTTGGAACTCGGAAATTCAAAAATCTAAAAGCTTAAGAACAATATTTAGGAATTTCGAGAATCTGAGAATATTTCGCTTATCAATCTTTCTCGAACGCGGCAAAAGAGAGAGAGAGAGAGAGAAAAAAAGAGAGAAACAAATGACAAAAATTTCAGTTCCAGCGCCATCGTACAATCAGCCTAATCCAGTTGGGTATCAGCCGCAGTACACCGGAAATACAAACTACGTTGGCCCGCAAAGTTACGCCGCTCCGAGTGTGAAACCAACCCCGTTCGTTCCAGCGCCTCTCGCTGAGGATGGGACGGTAATCGATACACCGGAAGTGGCTGCTCTTAAGGCCGCCAGGCTGGCCGAGCTGGCCGAGGCCGAAGCCAGAGCGTACAAGTTTGCCCAGGAATACAAAGCGGAACTCGGAGGTCAAGGTACGTTCACACAGAACGATTCTGTTCGAGGGAATCGAATAAACAAGTATGCAAGAAATATAATTGGATATTAGTTTTAATTGCCAGTCCGTGTTCTCGAAGGTTTAATCGTTTCGTTAAAAGACATTAATACGTAAATACTAGACTGTTTCTTCCACATCAGTTACGTAAGCCAGACCACATTATGTAAAACAGTTGGACAATGCAACGTGAGAAACGTTCTGGGACGAGAATGAAAATGATTGAAATGGTGAATCGAATCGGCTGGCTGAAAGCGGAGAAAATGATACAAGTATGTATCAAATCTGCTAGACGTACGTACATATATTTGCAGAATTGAAAGAAACATTACGTATAATAGAATAATTTTTAATATCTTAATATCTTAATGAATTTCTTTAATCTGGAATGTGTGAACAGTTCAATTCACGAACAAGTAATTCGTAGTAATTAGTTACATAATTTGTAGAAACTTCTTAGCTGAAAATTTAAGAGAGAGAAGAGCCGTCCGATTTCTACGGTAAAGTGTTCTCTGCAAGTGAAATTGAAGATTGAACCATCGAGACCGATCGAACTTTGGCCAGTTATAAATAAATACATTCGTATACTGTGATGTGATGCAACTTGAGATCCAAGCGAGATTGCCCAACAACTTAATCGCTCGATTGTTCACTGTGAGAATGGCCTGGCTAACGCCGCTAATCGTTACGAATATAATCGTGACCCGGCCATTTCTCCTCTGGAATATCAAATACGACGAGCTCGCGAGCGAGTTTCACTCGAGTTGTTCGTAACAAAATCTAAGGTGCTGAACTGGTCGAATGTTCTCGAAAGAAAGTTAACGTTTCGTTGCAAGATTAACAATTTTTTACCGATTACCTTCGAATTCGATCCATTGAAAGATTAACCTTTACATATTCTTTTTTTTTTTGTTTATTAATTATTCTTTGTAAATTAAGTGTTATTCATTTTCCATTCCAATTGTTTCATGATTTATGCTAAAATTAACTACTCTTTTATAATTGGCAGAGCAATCTTCGACTAAATGAAAGTTAACTTGCGACAAAATTTCGTTCTTTTTGTTAGCTTATTATCTTGATCTTGTTAAAATGGGCGCCTATATTACTTATTAAGGAAGGGGAAAAGTTAGATAGGAACCGGTTCCTCTCGTCTCGATTCATTCGGTCGCTACTCTAAAAGCAAATTCTAAAAGCAAAACTGATTAAATTACTCGTGTGAATAAATTATCGAGAGGAATTTTAAACTTCCTTGACACACACGTACTTACATAACATTTTGATCTTCTTTTTCAGCGTTGATTTAATTAATACTATTTGCGTTGTTTTTCAACTGGATGATCGACAACTGAAATTTCATGCTCTTTTTTAATCTCACTGATTTGAGTTTGATCTATTTTTAAATAGAACTATCGAGTAATCATTCCCATTCTATCAGAAGAATAACAGATCTAAGAAAATTTCGAAACTTTTAACTTCTCTTCTTACTTTTTTTTTTTTTTTTTCTCGATCTTATTTCGATGTTGATTCTAATGATCAAATTTATCAGTCTTGATACGATGTAGAAACACTTTTATTGTCAGTAATTTAATATTCTCTTGATAATTAGCAATCTTTCTCGAGGCATTATCCAAAGTGTGCGAATGTCTGAATGTTCTAAAATTTCAAGAGGATCCAGTGAAACGATTCTCATGATTTCACGTCAGTTTGATTCGTTAATTCATTTCAGCTTATGCTGGCCCGGCAGCAGCTCCATACAGCGGTCAATACAATGCACCAGCTGCGCGAATATTTTCTGCTGCAGCACCTTCGTATCCAACTCAGGCCCAATCTCCGTTTGGCAAGCCTGCTTTCCAACCCCAGAATTATCAGCCGCAGCAATTAGTCGGGGCTTACTAAATTCGAAATCACGACGCAAATCTGTACATAATTTAGGCCAATAAATTATTTCCCTTCCTTTGTCTATTTTCAAACTTGTCATTCTCCATTCCCATTCTATTATTTAGCTCGTTCACTTGCATTTTGTTTCGTTTCGATAATCAATCTTTATTTAGCACTGGAAATCTTTCAAAGTTTAAAAGTAGTGGAGGTAATGGTGAAATTAACGAATATTAATTGTAGATTAGGATGACTAGGATTCCCCTAAAATTATTCCCAACAGATTTCAGATATTTTGAAGTGCCTCGAGGCACTTCAGAGATTCCTTTGAAACTTCTTCCAGAAAGTTTTTTGTGTTTCGCCATTTTTAGAAAAGAAAGAAAAAGAAAAAAACAGATGTGGCTAAAAGAATTTTATAACAACGAGAAAGTTCCAAAAAATTTTCCTTTCGACGATGTTTAGCTTCGCGAAGTAATCATGGCGATGAAGAAAATGATAAACAATATTTCAATAAAACAATTCACGACAAAATGTCTGAAATACACTAATAAGTCTGTGATAAAAATATCGCAATTACTTTTTGCCGTTGCATAATTTGCAAAAAAATCTTCAAGTCATGCGTTTCAGAATGAACCTTCGTCATTAACGCGCGTATTCTTCACCTGGGGAGCTACCAAATCAACGAAACGTCGAACGAATTACCAAGGAGTGTAAGTATTACTTACATTAGTCGTCAGAAACCACGGGTTAACCTACATTCGATTTCTCTACGCATTGTGGTTAGCATAATCCAAGAATTGGAGAGATGTCCTCGTCTATCGATTCCTGGGTAAGCGAGAACATCTCTTCATGGCCATTTAACATTGATCCCTCCCCCTCCCTTGTGTATTATTAATTATGTATATCAAATACAGAGATTAAAGAATTGCATTTTTTCACGGATTACATGGATCAAAAAATATTATAATATATTATAACATCAAACACTGTTGTATTAAAAAGTACATTGAAAGTATAATGTTAAAAAATATTTTTTCTTCTGTAGAAAAATCGTCATTTTCCCAGTCTTAAAAGTAGGACTGAAGACAAAAGTATCAGGAGTAAAGGAAATTTTGTGGTCGAATACTATCGTAATGATTGTCTCGTGCGATCG